AAGCCTTGCGCCAAACTCATTGAAGAGTAATGACAAGAGAACGGTCGTCACATGTTCTTCATCTTATTTATTATTACATTGTATCATGTTTTAGATACTGACGATGTCTTCTTTTTTTAAGGTCCACATTCTAAAGTTTGTCATACAGGAAGATGAGCTGACATCACTGGCTACATGCTCGTTTTGGTTCGGCAACTCGCTAAGAGATGGCGGGTCGGAGCCTGCACCTCCAAAAGCAAGTCAGCGAATGGCAGCTCCCATATTTCTGTCCCGACGGGTTCTCTTTAAACACCAGGAGAAAATTCTGCCCGGCTGCTTCACCAGAGACCGGTAAATAAAGTAATGCCGCTCTGCACAGGTAAATATAGTTCATTTGGCTTCTCACTCCAGGCCAGTTGCCGAATGAGTCATCCCGCCATGTCCTCCCGATCTGCTCCACGGCTTCTCTTCCGCCCCCCCCCAGCCTCTGATTCATCATCACTCCAGGCCGGGACGGCGCTCCAACCCCGCGCCTGTCGAGGAGAACAATCGTCTGAAGAGGAAGGTAATCTCCGCTATTTAACCTCACTGGCGTCTCCTGTCAGCCCGTTCATTCGTTCAGACGTCGTGCCGTTCCCTGGCAGAGAGAACGACAGTCGAGGGGGCAGTACGAAGCACAAACCGCAGTTTAGGAGCCCTCGATGTCCGCACGTGGCGCACAATTACGGTTTTTACTGTCTTTTCGAAGCGCAAAACTGCCATTTTCTAAATGAAGAGCTGCAAAGGACGAGGAGACTTGTGATCCGGCTTATGTACCACTGTTCACAGGAGTCAGACACAGGACTGGCACAGAATAGCATAGGTGACACTGGGCACACAAATCAAACATGGGACTGGCACACAATAGTTTAGGTGGCACTGGGCACACAAATCAAACATGGGACTGATACCAAATAGCTTAGGTGGCACTGGGCACACGAATCAGATACAGGACTGGCACGGAATATCTTAGGTGGTACTGGGCACAGTAATCAGACATGTGACTGGCACAGAATATCTTAGGTGGTACTGGGCACGCAAATCAGAAACAGGACTGGGACAGAATAGCTTAGGTGCCACTGGGCACACAAATCAGACATGGGACTGGCACACAATAGGTAAGGTGGTAATGGGCATGCAAATCAGATACAGGACTGGTACTGAATACCTTAGGTGGTACTGGGTACGCAAATCAGATACAGGACTGGCCCGGAATAAATCAGGTGGCACAGTGCACACAAATCAGATACAGGACTGGCACGGAATAGATCAGGTGGCACAGTGCACACAAATCAGATACAGGACTGGCACGGAATAGATCAGGTGGCACTGGGTACGCAAATCAGATGCAGGACTGGCACGGAATAGATCAGGTGGCACTGGGTACGCAAATCAGATGCAGGACTGGCACGGAATAGATCAGGTGGCACTGGGTACGCAAATCAGATGCAGGACTGGCACGGAATAGATCAGGTGGCACTGGGCATGCAAATCAGATATAGGACTGGCACCGAATACCTTAGGTGGCACTGGGTACGCAAATCAGATACAGGACTGGCACAGAATAGCTTAGGTGGCACAGTGCACACAAATCAGACACAGGACTGGCACAGAATACTTTAGGTGGCACTGGGTACACAAATCAGATACAGGACTGGCACACAATAGATCAGGTGGCACAGTGCACACAAATCAGACACAGGACTGGCACACAATATCTTAGGTGGTACTGGGCACACAAATTAGACACAGAACTGGCACACAATATCTTAGGTGGCACAGTGCACACAAATCAGACACAGGGCTGGCACAAATAGCTTAAGTGGTACTGGGCACACAAATCAGACACAGGACTGGCACAGAATACTTTAGGTGGCACTGGGTACACAAATCAGATACAGGACTGGCACACAATAGATCAGGTGGCACAGTGCACACAAATCAGATACAGGACTGGCACACAATAGATCAGGTGGCACAGTGCACACAAATCAGACACAGGACTGGCACACAATATCTTAGGTGGTACTGGGCACACAAATTAGACACAGAACTGGCACACAATATCTTAGGTGGTACTGGGCACACGAATCAGGACTGGCACAGGATGGCGCTCTGTTTAGTTCTTCTACCATGGTGGCAGATGTAGTAATTGTCACTGAGATATCCCGGACACTTAGGGCCCATTCACATGCATGTGCGCTGACACACATCATGCCATGCCATAACATGCGTTGCACGAAGGCAGCCCATTTAGATGACTTAGCTGCCAACGCACCCTGAAGTGCCCAAAATGGGGCGCAACCCCCGCCGTGCCATTTAAAATGCAGCAACGCATGTAGCGCAGTAACGGCGGCATAATTTGGCTCTCATACAAAAGGCAGAAAGTTCCGGGCCGTAGCGGAGGAGTGATTAGGATTCCGCAGCCCTCACGCGCTGTAATCAAATCTTCCTCAATCGGCACAGTAATTATGGCGGCTTCTGTGTCTATTTACGCTCATAATTTGGATGAGAAAACGATTCTTTTCATTCGGCGCTGACCGCGGTGCGGAGGTGGAAATCATTATAAGTGACCCCCGGCGCCTCCAAATTACCCAGAATCCCCCAGGAGACTCCGCTGTGTGTGCACAGACTGATAGGGATAGGAAGAAGGGGGAAAGGAAATATTGTAACCTGGGAAAGTCGGAGATACACGATGGGCCGCCGAGGTGCCGATAACGGGCGCGATACCGCGTGAATTATTCAAATGAATCACAATATACAGATTACCGCAAATGATGGACGGAAATCTTTTTCATTTAAGTTTTTTTTTTTTAAACATGTTTTACGATTTTTAATTTAAAATATATTTTTTTATTTAAAAAATGCTTTATGAAAAAAAAAAAAGAATAAATTCTTAAGTTGTAATGGAAGAA